TCGGGATTTTTAGAAAGAGTTTCTTTTCCTCTGGCCAAAGGCATTCATCATTATTAATATATTGGTAAGTCATTCTGGTGTTAACTTGGTTGCTGGTGTAAAATTAGGTGAACATTTAGTTAGAGAGATGAGACTCTTCAATGGGTCTTCTGAAAATTGTCTAATAACTCTTGTATCCTCAGAGAATACACCTTGTACTGGCTTTACTTTCTTATCTACCTTTTTATAGGATTCTAATGTCTTGTATAGCTCTTCTGAGTTACACTCAAAGACATATGATAAACAATGTACGTTATCATTGCATTCAAGCATAAATACATAATTATATAATCCATAATCGAGTATCCTACTAGAGAATATAGTAGCACATTCTGAAAAACAAGAGGAAAGGATACTGGATATATAGGTCATGTCATAACTATCAGAAAACAACTTAATACCAAAACTGAAAGGGTTTTTTCGAGCAAAAGAAGGCTGGTGTGATGTATTTATTATGAAAGAAGTTAATTAATTTATTAGTGATATCAGTCATTGCATTGAGGAGCATATCTTACACATGCTCACGCACCTCATCTTTCCTTATTGTGTCGTCTTCATTATCAGCATCACTCACACCCAAGCTATCTCATTTATCATTAGTGCTCTCTAAATCATCGACAATCTGAGCCAGCAGTCATTATTTTACTGTCACTATCAGACACGTAATCAGATCTTCTTTCCTCAGCCTTTGATGAGAATTTGTTGTGATCACATTCTTTTTACCTGAAGTATAATTTATTGAATCAATGATATGATTTTCTGGTCATTAATCATTCATCAACAAGCATTTTTATACCTTGCTTTTGGAACTCTTTAGCAGTAATTGGCTCAAATGACAACATCTTGTAAAATCCAACATATAGTCAGACTTCATCATGCAATCTCACAAATACTCAGTGCACCTGCTGCGATTTAAAAACTCTGACAGACTTCATATAATATAGGCTGGCATCGTCAGGATTCTTAAAAGCATGGAGATAATATACAAGGGAAAGCATCATGAAATTATTAATTCCATATATGTCAACTCTCTCTTACTAATTAAAGGGAACATTTTGATAAAGCTTCCACCATAAAGCTGGGAGATGTAGTAATATGAGAAAGTAAATTTGAGCAGCATTTTCTAAGTCTAAAATGATGAAGCTGGGATTGGAGTTCATTCATTCCAGTCCTAGCAATAATGTTTCAGAACTGGTTGATGTAATTCTGATTGTCGCCTATCTGTTTTAACCTCTCAAGAGTTTTTGTTACTGTTCTTTCAGAATCGATATTCATAAAGGCTTTCATTGATTTGTTTACATTAAAATGGCTTCTGTATCAAGTTTCCTTCCATACTGCTACATTTCCTTTCCTTAGAAAGGACATTGCAAGTATAATTTGTGAATTGTTGTCATTATATATCTTCGAGTTGATCAATATATAGAATTAGATGTCATGCACACAGGTTACTGCTTCAGAGACATCTCTGAAGAAGCTCTTCAGCTATCCAATCATTTTCTTAGTTGGTCTTAGTGATTGCACCTAAGGACTGATAAGGTAGAGATCAATGGTCCTACCTGTGGAGCAGGGCTTGTATATATTGTCAAAGTAAGAGAAGAGATGAAAGCTGCAGCTAACCAGCTGAAGAATATACATGAAGATTCTACTTTGCATTAATCTCTTTTCTATAATGTTTCATACCACAGTCTCATGCAAAAATCAAGAAAGCTTTGCAACTTGACTACAAGTTTGTTACTCAGTGGCTTAATACAGCTGGGCTCCTAAAACTCCTCCTCATTGTGCTTAATGCAGCTAAAGATGTGCCCACTGATGCAGCCTAAGCTATCAGAGCATCTAAGGCCAGCAACTCAATGCCAAGCAAGAGTGTAAAGCTTAGTGGAAGTGCAGAGGGCTCAGTGGAGGTGGTGGAGATGACAAAGGTGGTGAAGGTGAATGACGAGTGTGACAGCAAGTCATGAAAAAGGCTGAGTAACCAAATTACTGAGATTGTTTAGGTGCAAGCCAAACTCTCAGTAACTTTTGAGCTATTGTGGGTCTATTCTTACAAGTTTTAGTCTACTAGTCTGCTGTTAAACTTTTGCTTTTATGAAATTCAATTATATAAAGTACTTTCAGCTACATTTTAGGTAAAGTAGAATATTCTACTTAAAGACTATCACATAGTATATTTTTAAATTTATCTTGTGATGTTAAAAACACTATATCTTGCTAGTTTAAATAATTTTCTCAAATAATATACTATCATATCTATCACAAACAAGGATACTTATTATCATGTTTCAAAATATATTTCACATTTTGTACTTTAATATCCAAACTAACCTAGTGTAAGATCAAACATACATTTAAGATTGATCTTCTTCAACTTTCATTCTCAATATAAGAAGAAAGGATAATAACAGCAATCTGTGTAAAAGATAGAGACATACAAGTTTTTCAAGTGATATATTCAACTTGAACAATGTGCCATTTGACAGAACATTTCAATGAAGACAAATTATGTGATATACAGGAAAAGATATGTTCACTAAACAACATTCTGCATTGTGAAACATCCTATAGATAAGCAAATAATCTTTATTCTTATTAAATACTATAGCATATTATGTTTAATTGTATCAGTCTGACAAAAGTGTTTTACAAACTACAAAATGACTAACTGTTAGCTTACAAGTAAATCTTATCTCAGACATTTCTTTAAGTAGAATATCCCACTTTGCCTAAACTGTAGCTGAAAGTACTTTATATAATTGAATTTCATAAAAGCAAGAGTTTAACAGCAGACTAGTAAACTAAAACTTGTAAGAATAGACACACAATAGCTCAAAAGTGCATTTTCTATTAATAGTGAAATGTTTTTATGTATTTTTGACATCATCGAATATTAATAGTCTAGTGGGACATGTCATATAACAATTCTTCCATTGAACTATCTTATAAGTTAGATAATTTCATAGTAGGTTATCAATGTACTTTGATGCTCTAAATGTATCAGCACTTGAAAGTCTTACAGGTACAATATGCTATAGATTATATTGAAGCTAAGTAATCTAATTATAAAAAATCTAATACAATTTTAAACATGTATGAGACAGTCTACTAAATGTCTTAGCTCACAAATTCAAAGTATAAGAAGTGCTGAAGAAAGAATATGATGACTATAATGAACTCATTTATGTTATAATATAATAGTATTCTATTACATATTGATTTATATGTACTATAAAAATCTACTATCTGAATTACAGTCTGTCATCATTACTTTAGTTTTTTATTACTATAAGCATCATTATTTATATCTGGTGTAATAATAAGAATTCAATACTAGTCTACAAAAAAGACAGTAGTTATCAATGCGAAAGGTAAATGTTCTTTACTGGGCTATAATCAGATGTAGTATTGCTTAAGCTGATATTGTAAATATACATTCATACTCTATACAGATGTAGAAAGATTATAATATATAGCAGATTTTGCAGTAATAAAATGTGAAATCCTAGCCTGAAAAGTCCCATTATACCCCCTGACACCACATGACAAGTAATGATCTATAGGAACAAGCTGAACAAAGGAAGAACAAGAGACTGTACCTACTATACAATCTCCGGAAAATTTTATATGTGATCATATAAGGTCATGACCCAGATAGAGATATGAGATATGTGATGAGGATCTGAACAGATCACACATTTTGCAACAATTAGCAACAACGTATTAGTAGCTGTTGCAGCTAGTAGCTGGAAATATGAGGTATCCTAAAGTGCTCATGTACCAGTAGTCAGTGATATACTAGACTAATGTAAGCATCTTACAAATTGACACTAGATGACATATCTAAGTTCATCTCATAGCACAAACTATCCTGTCCACTGCTTTCTTCACTTCTTCCACTCATGCACTCTCTCCAATGGAAGACTCCGAGGATGAAAAGCTGGTCATGGACTTGCACAGAAATGATGACCTATTTGAGAATACTCTGACATTCTCATCTGATAGGTTTTACACCCCTGATGCCAAATCTCTAGATTATTTGGTGCTCAATACCCACTTCCATCCTGATGCTGCCAAGAATAAAAGGTGTCCTTATCTAAGAAAGAATAATAAGAAGCATTTGAAGTGGACTAACAACCAATGCGAGTGTGCTGAACGAGCTTATATAATGAAGACACTAGATGACTTTGAGAATGAGGTAAGCTATTTGATATTTACTCTGCTCTCATGCTAATTCTAGTTTGCTCAGATGAAAGATTATTACTTGTCTAAAGGCATCAAGTCTGAGAATGACTACATTCATTTGGACCATGCGGCTGTTATGCAGCAGCGAAACACGAGCGTCTAGTCGAGTCATTATGAGACAAGGTCTTAGTCTAAGACACAAGTCCGTTCAAGTGACACTTCTGGCAATGTCCTTGCACTGAAGGTCGATCAGAGTTCGTTCTTATGACTTGTAGTAGCTGTCTGCTACTGACGGCCGATCTCAGTCAAAGGCAAGTGAAAAACTGGTTTAATGATAACCAGGTCGAGATGGGGATCCAGCTCGACGAGATCGTCTACTTATACAAAAGGTATTCACAGTACTACGCAGTAATATGGGATCGTTCATTGGCTAGATAAGGTGAAACGATGTCTGGGCAAGGTAACAGCGAGGAAGTAATATGTGTGAGAAAGCTGAGTAAGATCATGAGATATAATTAGTACTAATGGGAATGACGGGTCGTGTATCAGAACGAGGTAAAGATGCGGCATACATGCACGTCTTGCATGTTGTGATAAGAGGAAGGTCCGGAGTTGGATTCGGTATAACCCTAGACTAGGGGTTCTGGACGTTTGGGTAGAGAATCAGAGGTTACGCTCCGATGAGTCACGTGTTGGATCACGTGATCTGGTAAAGTAAGGGGAATGAAGAAAGGAAAAAGAAAAGATGTGCCATAACTGAGGAGCATTGTAACATCAGCTCTCGTCTAACATTTCTTGTCCCACAAGAAATATTTGTAGTCTTCATCGTCGTCGGGGATAGTCCCGGACATAATGATCACCTCCACATCTGTAGCACGTCCTTCGGCCAGTTCGTGGTCCTTGTTCATGCATACGTCCATCACGACAGGGATGACTGCGACACAAAGAAGTCGATGCGTGTGAGAAGGAGGGTTGCGATAATGGGGATTGACCTGAGGTACATGTGAATGAGGGGGGCGAGGTCGAACAGGAATTGGTTCTGGTGATGAACGAGGAGTGGATGCGGGTCTCCCATCAGTGGTGTATCCGAGGATGTGCCCGATGTCTTCATCTCCATGCTCCCTCCAGATCTCCTGTGCTGTACGACTGACTGTACTGCGCATCAGAAACCAGACTTGGTCGACTCTGGTTCGGGCTCTACTCGTCCTCTCCTCTGCTGCGATGAGCTCTTGTCTGGCTGTCTGCATCCACTCGACCATTTCTAATGCTCGTTGCATAGAAACCACCACTTGTCGATCTTGCGGGCGATTTTGTAGGGCGACGAGAATATCTGTGAAGTCGACGGGGGTACAGATGGCTGAGATCAGATGTGTAGCAAATTCTTGTTTGTCCGATGCGTGACTGAGTTCAATCGAAGATGAAGGCGATGAAGCGTGGATGAAGGGTGTCTGTGTTTGGGAGGATATTCTATTGACAAGCGTAGATGATGCGGGGGTACTCATAATCGTAGAAACGACTTCAGCAAGTATGTTGTGAACAAGGTCGTCTATAGCAGAAGTGGGCATTGGTGATATGTGGTTTTCTCCTCCCTTTATACCTTTCGGTCATTAATGGAATCACAGTTATCTGTGATGTGAAACAGAATGTCGTGGATGTGGGTAACAATCAAATAGATGAAAATCCATTGGGCAATAAAGAGCATTCCCACGGAGATAAGGACTGCCTGGTCAGTTCCAGGCATCGTTCTGATCACCCCAGCCGCTAGTGTGTGGGTGGTCTCGTGTGAAGAGCATGTGTTTGACGAGTTGTCTGATAAGGATTCGGTGGATGATCCAAAGGAAAGTGAGGGTTGTGCAGTGGAGGACGATTAGGAAGATAACTAGGAAGGCCGTCATGGTAGTTATTCCAGTTTCCTCATCCTCTACTCGATTCCCCTCATCCTTTTATATACGTCGAGGGTCTGCTTTGCATTCTGTAAATTGTGGGCAGGTTCCCACGAGTTTTCTGCTGACGAATATCCCTTCCACTTGACTAAGTACCTCAGGTGACCTCGGTATGCCTTGTGATTCAGGATTGCTTTGACTTCGTACTCTTCTTCATTATCCATGACATCAGGTGGTGGGTTCACGTAGTTCGGACCATGTATGTTGTTTTCGTGATAAGGAGATAGAAGGGCAGCGTGGAATACGGAATGAACTTGCCAGGTCTTCGGGAGTCTGAGGCGATAGTTGGCTGATCCGATGACTTCAACAATTTCGAATGGCCCCTCACGCTTGGGAGCTATCTTGCGTGAGGCATAGTTGACCTTCAGGTTCCTCAAGTCTAGCCAGACCTTCTGTCCTAGTGTGAACTTCGGCGATCCTTGTCTGACTCGGTCCGCCATCTGTTGTCGGGCTAACTCATGCATGGCTAGTGCTTCTAGTCTTATCTTTTGCAGCATGTCAAGCCTGAATTCAACCGATGGAATGTTCGTCCTTGAGAATACGGAAGGGAGTCCATGTGGTTCATATCCCATCATGATGCAGAATGGGCTCATCTTCCATGCCGAGTGTTCCCTCGTGTTATGACAAAACTCGAGGTCTGGCAGGCGATCAGCCCATGTTTCAGGGTTGTTTCCACAATAGAGTCGAAGATAGATTTCCAGCCCCTGGTTGACTCGTTCTGTTTCTCCATCCGTCTGAGGGTGATAAGCTGTGCTCATTGATGATCTAATCTGGAGTAGTTGATTTAACTCTTGGAAAACCTTGGATGCGTATTGAGGTCCTCTATCTGAGATGATTTGGTCAGGTAGTCCAAATCACGAGTAAACTTTGTCATGAAAAATCTTGGCTGTTCCTTCAGCTGTGATCATTTTGAGGCAGGGCGTAAGAATCACCCCCTTCATAAGGTCATGGTCTACTATGACCATAATTGAATCAAAGCCGTTGGAAACGGAGAGGTCAGTGATAAAATCTGTGGTGCAACAGGAAAATGGTAATGCGTGTGGGTCTGCGGGGATTGGTTCCAAAGGAATACGAGTTGGGTGAGTATTCAGTTTCATCTGTTGACAGGCAGCACAGCCTTCGACGTAATTGTTGACAAATGCATACATGCCGGGCCATCAAAATTCACGATGTAGGAGTTCAAGAGTATTGAACTTTCCAGGGTGGCCCATGGCAGGGGAGTCGTGATGTAGTCGAACGAGGTCACGATGAAGAGGTTCGGATGGTGGGACATAAATCTTTCCTTTGTAAAGGATGACACCATCACGAACTTCCCAGTCGGAAAGCGAGGACTTCATTGGGAATGGCCCTTTGTGCGCGATTGCTTCAAGGGCTTCATGAACAATGAGGTCCTTTGCTGCATGATTTCTGATTTCGTCAAATAGCATCGGGGAAATGGATCGCACAAATAGTGCATCGGGTAGAAGGATGCGATCTTCATTGTCACTTTCACTGTCATCGAGTCCGTTACGATGAGATAGCGCATCAGATTGGATCATCTGAGTGCCAGGGACGTGAATGAGGTGAAGATCGTATTGTGATAATTTAAGACTCCATCGTGCTTGTCGGCGGTTTAACTTCTGGGCTGTACAGAAGTACGTGAGGTTCTTGTGATCACTGCGAACTTCGATGAGATGAGGAGAGCCTTCTAGATAATGGCACCATTCGGTAAGGGCTCGAATGATTCCGAGAAGTTCGCGGTCGTAGATTTTGTAGTTTCGTTCAGCTGGATTGAGCGTCTGTGAAATGTAGGCACAAGGATGGAGTTCTCCATTGATATCAGCTTGTCATAAAACTGCACCTGTAGCAAACTTGGAAGCATCAGATTCGACAATGAAGGGTTTTGCTTTGTCGGGCAGCAACAACACTGGGGCAGTACTAAATCGTTGTTTCAATGTATCAAAAGCTGTCTGACATTCTGTTGTCCATTCAAAAGGTGGAGATCCAGCAGCGGTACGCATAAGGTTCATCAATGGTTTAGCAATATCCGAGAAGTTGACAATGAATTTCTGGTAAAAGTTTCCAAACCCGAGGAAAGAGCGAACACCTTTTACCGTGCTTGGTTCAGGCCATTCTGCAATTCCTTTAAGTTTGATAGGGTCCATGCCAATGTAGTTTTCTCGAATGATCATGCCTAGGAATTCGACTTCCTTAACGTCAAAGAAACACTTTTCCGGTTTAAGGAATAGGTTGTTGTCTTTGAGTCGTTGGAGTACACGTTGAGTTCGAACGTGATGTTCTTCCAAATTGTTTGAGAAGATGAGGATATCATCCATGTAAATGACTATCCATCCTTCATCGATCATGTCCTCGAAGAGTGCATTCATCATCATTTGGAAAGTCGCCAGGGAGTTGCAGAGTCCAAAGAACATGACCATAGGTTCAAAAAGTCCGCGATTTGTCTTAAATGCACCCTTCCATTGGTCACCATCTTTGACTCTGACATTGTTATATCCGGAGCATAAATCAATTTTCGTAAAGATCGATGCACCTTTGAGTTGATTCATGAGCTCAGAAATGAGCGGAGGAAGAGAGTAGGCATTCTTCACTGTTCCCTCATTCAGGTATTGGTAGTCCTGACAGGGATGTAGTGCTCCATCTTTCTTTCCAACAAAGAAGAATGGCGAGGCCATGGGGGACTTCGACGGTCGAATGTATCCTTTTCGCAGATTTTCTTCCAAGAAGTCATCCATCGCTCCTTGTTCCTTGAGCGATAATGGATAGACTTTACAGTCTCGTGGAATAAAATTGGGTTTCAAGTCAATGGTGTGGTCCCAGGGCCTGGTTTCTGAGAAGCATTCAGCTGCTTTCTTTTCAAAGACTGACTTCAAATCGTGGAGGTAGTTGGGGACCAACTCTTCAACGATTTTGGGTTTGTCTACAGCTGATGCTTCCTTGTGTGCTTGTTGTGCCAATTCCTGTGATTTACCGGATGGTTTATAAAAAACCGTATTCTGTGCATTACAGAATAATGGGGATCGAGTACTGTGTGTAATTCTTCTGATGGTGGGGCCTCTTCGTATAGTGAAGACTGCGGTTCCAGTCTTTTCATTCGTTAAAGGTGACTCCTTCCTGATGGGTTCAAATACTCCAATAACTGGTTCTCCTGCAATATAGGAGATAACTAGATCGTCATCATCAAATTGATCCATAGAGGGTTCTAATGGTGGGTCGTCTGGTTCGGTATTATTCCATACTGCGGGTAACTCGTCACGCTCAGTGTCATCGGCTATGATTTCTCTGATAGATTCTGAATGTCCAAATGAGGTCGGAGAAGTTTCGGTGGTGATTAACTCCAGGAGGTCATCTTCTTTGAAAATTGAAACTTCTTCGTCTGGTACATCTTCGACGGTGGGTTTCGGCGACCATTTGGCATCCTTGCCAAACCAAAAGTCACCGGTTTTCCAATTAATCATCAGATTGAGGCGTTTAAGCCATGGCATGTCGAGAAGTATATTTTCTTTGCCAATATCGGTTAAGAGGAAGCGAGTAAGTGTCTTCCTTCCTCCAATCTTCATCATCTTCCAGGTACAGTGAGTAATGGTACCCATCTGATTCAGTGTGCCGTCTGCATTTACGACTTTAATCGGTTTTGGTAATTCCCATTTAAGGAAATCATTTTCTTCCGCAAATTGAATATGCATGAACGTTTCAGCCGCACCAGAATTGATTAAGGCTTCTGTTGCAACGTCTTCCTTCTCTCCCAATGAAATATTCACAGTGATTGAATTTCCGCTAGTGTTACAAATAATGAGGGGAGATACGGTAAGATACGATGGTCCATGCGTTACTAGTGGCCATCGTTTCAAAAACCCAACTGGGTTCATTCTTCATCAGTCATGTCGTTGAAGACATTTCGCACATAGGCGATCTGTTCCTCTCTGGTTCCTTCCTTCGGTATCTCCTTCTTCTGTGCGAGATCTTCTCGCATCTTCTTGATCCACGTGATCGTGTCTGTGTCCAACCCGGGCTGTATCGTTCTAGCATGGGTGAAACCTCCAAATTGGGAGTGAAATTGTCTGTCATTGGCTATATGGCCCTTCTGTCCGCATAAAAAACATAATCCTTCTTTCATTCTCTTCAGTCGCTCATCCGGGGACAAGCACGAGATGTTGATACGATCAACATCCATCGCATTTGGATCCTTTGCAGAAGTCGAGTAGTAGGGACGATGGACAGATCGGCCCTTTCCTTGTGTCATCGTAGTGGCTCCTCACTTGAAGATCTGAGCAGATCTCCATTGGTTATCAAACTGCGAGGCATACTCGTACCACTTGTCAAGTGTCTTGGGCATGCTTTCCATCTCATATATCCTTTGTCAGAGTGGGTCATTAAGTCCCCATTTGAAATACTCGATATTTCCGGCATCTTCTAATTTCGCCTTGGATTCAAGCGATCAGAATTCGGCAATGTAGTCATCCGCAGTACGATTCCCTTGCTTGATGTTACGTAGCAAGGTATGAGCGGTTTCTTCAATATTTTCATCACCAAATGCTTTGTTCACACTTGCAATGAACTCTTTCCAACTTCCATAAGAAAGGAAGTCATCATTGGTGAGTTCCATTTCTATGAAGCTCTGCGCCCATGATCCTGCTGTCCCTCCTTACATGTGCGACAGCACGAATGCAATCTTCTAATTATCCTCTTGGTAGACATGGCTATTTCCAGCCATGTAATTCTTGCATTGGTTTATAAATTCCCTGAGCTTCGAACGGTCTGAACTGTTGAAGATCTTGGGTTTTCTAAAACCAAGTTCCTTTTGGCTAACATGGTGATGACCTTCATCCATGGTAATTGTAGCCACTGGTGGGATGTCAACAGTTACAATTGGTGCAAGAGTCGATTGTGGTATGGGATCCTGGGCAGGGGGGTTCCAAGGGGCGTCTGGTCTTTCTCCTCGATAAGAGATCGGTATACCACTGTCTGCGATGTGTAGCAGGACAAGCTCTCCAACGTTATGGGGTAGCTTTGCTTCGTAGTCACCATCTGGGTGATCGATGTGCTGGTCTGGTCTGATGAATAAGGGTCGTCCGTTTAAAATGTGTACGTTCCTCTGCGCGTCCCACTCTGCCTGAGATGGGAGGAGATCGATGTATTGCTTGGGAAGAGCAGGTTGATAAAGTTCAAATCCAGCGTGGATAAATTCTCCTGTGTGACCTACGTCTACACGTAGACTGCACACCGTCCTTAACTAAGCGGGTTTGTTCATCGTCGGCTAACAAGCCTGTAAAGTGTCTTCTGTCTTCAAACTGATACACCTATTTGCTGATTGCTCGAGTGATTACCTCAGCCTCCTCAGCCTATTGGTCTCTCGGACAGACCCCTCTCCGAAGATGAGTGATCAGTCTATCCCTTCAGCTACCTCGATTACAGAGTAATCTCAAACGGTGCTTTAGCAATCGAATCGGGTGTATCGTTTAGTCTTCAAGGTTCGGTCCAGTTGGTAGTTCATTGTTAGACTTTTGGGAAGTCACAGAGAGTATTAAGATCTTGACCTAATGTTACACGGCAGCGAAACATGAGCGTCTAGTCGAGTCGTTATGAGACAAGGTCTTAGTCTAAGACACAAGTCCATTCAAGTGACACTTCTGGCGATGTCCTTGCACTGAAGGTCGATCAGAGTTCGTTCTTATGACTCGTAGTAGCTGTCTGCTACTGACGGTCGATCTCAGTCAAAGGCAAGTGAAAAACTGGTTTAATGATAACCAGGTCAAGATGGGGATCCAGCTCGACGAGATCGTCTACTTATACAAAAGGTATTCACAGTACTACGCAGTAATATGGGATCGTTCATTGGCTAGATAAGGTGAAACGATGTCTGGGCAAGGTAACAGCGAGGAAGTAATATGTGTGAGAAAGCTGAGTAAGATCATGAGATATAATTAGTACTAATGGGAATGACGGGTCGTGTATCAGAACGAGGTAAAGATGCGGCATATATGCACGTCTTGCATGTTGTGATAAGAGGAAGGTCCGGAGTTAGATCCGGTATAACCCTAGACTAGGGGTTCTGGACGTTTGGGTAGAGAATCGGAGGTTACGCTCCGATGAGTCACGTGTTGGATCACGTGGTCTGGTAAAGTAAGGGGAATGAAGAAAGGAAAAAGAAAAGACGCGTCATAACTGAGAAGCATTGTAACAGCGGCATTTGAAGGGTGAGTGACTACATTCTATTTTTTGTGAAAAGTACTCACTTCTATGTAGGAGGGAGGTTCAGCTCAATTGCTAAGATGAGGAGCTGTTAGCCTTCATTACTAGTGATATGCCTGAAAAAATAAAGAAGGGACTTGAGTGTGGTCTACATTCAGTGCTGTTTCAGTGATGTCAGTTATGAGGGATTATCTTTAGTGCTTATAAGTTACAAATAAGGATGAAATCCAGGTTTAATAAGCTGGTCATGTATAAGGATAATCTACCAAGATTATCCCTAGCAGGCTAAGCCGAAGATAATCCAAACTACTGAGATTATCTTCAACAGGCTGAGCCGAAGATAATCCAAACCACTGAGATTATCTTTAACAGACTGAGCCGAAGATAATCCTGTCTATCAAGTGGGATCATCTCAGGTTGGATTATAGCAAACAGGATTATTCAGTACAAGATTATCTCAACTAAGATCATCTCCATTACAGATTATCTCAGAATAATCCATCGCTTACCCGCTCACATTGACTCATGGCAAACTACCTGTGCTCCGATTATCTCAGAATAATCCATCACTTACTCGCTTACATTGACTCATCCCAAACTACCCATGCTCTGATCAAGCTCATGCTGCTGCTTCACCGTGCTTGCTCTTGCTACCCACAGCAGTAGTAACCCCCTTGAGCTTTGTTAGGCAGAGTAAGCACTCATTGCACGTCCTGACATCAGCCAATGACGCACCTGACTGTAGTCGGGCTTTTCCCCGTCCACATCCTTCCTCGCTTTGCTGAAAGTCACCTCGCACTCTGCAGCCTTCCTTCCGTACATCCTTGCCTTTTTCATCGCATATGCCCAAGCCCCCCTCTCCATGCCTTCCTTCTCCTCTACATTACGCCATGCCCCATCCATGCGCCGCCAAGCACGTATCATCCGTCGAAACTCTTCATGTAATTTGTTGACCTCTTCATCGTGGCGGTGTTTGTCGGCATGTGCACGAAACCACTCCACTTGTTCCGCTGCAAGTGAAGCAAATGATTAATATATTTGTTTGCTTAACCACCTCAATAAAATTGACTTACCTTCACTGCTCCAAGCAGCAACATCCTGTGTCGTCGTTCTCGGTGGAGTGACATTTCAAAACCATGTGCGCACCTCCTTGCTATCTCCGAGGGAGCGAGCTACCTGTAGATTTTTGATGGTCAAGTCTTTCTTGAGATCAATCGCACAGAGGGTGTTGTCGTCATTGTCAATCCCGAGCTCGATTAACTGTTGTCAGTTGTGGTTATATCGTTGCGTGAGACTCCGGCTATGTTCAGCCGCATTCTGAATCATCTTCTGTGCTCGCATGTTGTCCTTCTGCCCCCGCACGTGCTTAGTCTTGTCACTGAGGAATGCACCTTGATGCCCTAGTGATTCCTTAATGGCACTGAGGAGATTGTGTGTCAGCCCAATCTGAATGCGTTTCTCGAAACTCGTCAGAATCTCCAACGCGAACATCTTGCGCTTGCCGCTGCTGAAGTCGGAAGGAAGGACCAGGGCTTCCGATTCCGGCTGGCCATGCATTTCATCGTCCTCATCATCCTTAACCTCCTCTGCATCTGGCAGTTCAACTTTTGGCATGAAGGTCACTTGCTGTCGATGCCACTTGTCCAAGTCGTGTCGCAAGCTGCGGCATTCAGATTCCAGGCTCGCGGACTCGGTGGCAGATATATCGTTGCCATCATTGTGCCTTCCCAAACGTGCCTGCAACACCAACCTGTGCAGATGTAAGATCATTGGAATGGAAAGATGGAGAGACACGTACTGCCTCTGTTCCAGCTGCAGAGCAGTTTTCAGGAACTGCGCAGCACCTGATGGGGCCTTGCTCGCCACGAGATCCATCTGGTGTTCCTCAGGCTGCACCTCAATCTTAGCTAACTTGCTTAGAGTGGGCTGGTGCTAATGCACGGCAAAGACGATTCCTGATTTTAATATCTATCAGACCTATAGTTCTAATATGTGTTTAGTCTCTTTTTTTGCACTTATTATTCAAAAGTATTACAGTTGTATATTTTTATAATTAAACATACATTTGGCTATATTACAATCTAGTACAGTCATGCTTTAACATATATTACAACAGAACTAATCTTTGATCTACACTTTGTCAGCACTGTTGAATCCATGCTCTCTATTTGTCCCTCTAGTATATAAGTCTGCCCAGTTGTAACCCCATCATTAAACCAGACACTTCCAGTTTTTGTAATGATACATGCAGTAAAGTGGAACCCACCATAATAAACTATACCACAGAGTCTATATTTCTGATCTTGCAATTCTAACTCAGATTCCCAGTTAATCTGCAGACTGTTGGTAATGAAACACTGAAAATTTGGCAAAGACTCATATTCCAAATTATAAAGTAAGGCACTATTACAGTTAGGACAAACACGCTCAGAGCATCTGGCAAAAATTGCATTCAGCCAGTCTCTACTTGATCTATTCTTGTAGGACCCAAGTTTAAATGGACTATCTTTTCAAACTACTCTGCTACAATCCCAAATTACTTGTCCATCTGTATTACTCTCAAATTCTATATTACAGTGATCACATATAAGTGTGCAAGTCATAATATCTTCAGAGTGATTCAACATCTCCTGGCATAATGCATAGATATCAGTTCCTTCTGTACCTATTACTGGAAATACCTCAGAGCTAACTTGGTGCAAACTTAGTCTGATTCTGTCTCGTGCATTCTCCATTGTCAATTTGCCCAGTTTAACATCATCAAACACTTGTGTAAAAAGCTGCAGGTGAATATTCTGCTGCTGAACATTGGACATCCACCATTCAGGTGAAGTTGTATATACAGCACGTAGGATTGAGAAGAGACTGTCATAGGCACAACTGTATATTTCTGCATTTCAAATAAAACCTTGTGGTGAAGCCAGATTTCCTGATATTATAGCACTTGTAACCTTTTGTTTCTTAGACTTAGAGCCTGCTGGATATTCACTATGCTTACGCTTAGCACCACGTGCTGCACCAGGATCATTACTCAGAGTAATAAGGCCTTTTGTTCCTGCAGCTGCTACATAGCGGGCTAACTCTAGAGCTTGATATTCTGCTCGAGTTGGTGTCTTAATTTCTGCAGCTTCTGTAGTGGATCCTTTCTTTGGTTTCTCCAAAAGTTGAAAAGGTGCAATTTCCAGTGGCTTCTCAATTATGTATGGTACCTCTTTTGACCATCTAATAGCTGGATGTACTGTCTTGGGAGTATAATCTTGGCCTTTCCATGTACGATATGCATGTATGACTGCACCACGAGTAGGACCGTCAATAAATGCAGGCAATTTCTTGCTGTATTGCAGCCTGGTTATTTCATCTAACAGTTCCAAGTCTCGAAATTCTTGTCTTAAGTAGCCAGTTATGCCACCAGTAAGCTTTGCTGGATCAAATCCTTGCACAAGTATTGTACCTGCATATGTTGAACCTCATGATAGACAGGTATATATAGACTGATGTGTTTGACAGTTCTGAAGATCACATACATTATCTGGACGAGTTCTGCCTTGAGAATTGAAGTCTGTCATTGCAAAGTTTGGAATTACTGCCACTTGATCTCGACTTATGTGCAGGTGTGCACCATTAGGCATTACACAGTCAATCTCTTGTACTTGATGTGTAATAGGAACAACATTCAGGGGTAAGCCATCTAATTGAATAGGAGATGGAGGTGCAGTCAACTTTACAAATAGAGTATCAAGAGCCATTTTATCTTGAGTAAGTGGTCATGACTTCCAGCCAATTACAATGCCTTCAGCACCATTGGTGACACCACATTCAGTTGCTTCATTATTCTTAATCATAACTGGCAGTCCAATACATAGGGACAATTTATCTGGATGATGGTTGGTACAACAGTGTGGCAAGTTTCACAGTTTTTCCTGCAAGTGTGGACTGATCTTGTTTGATGATCGCTTAGGATCTACTGTAGCAGACTTCTTCTTTAATTTTCTCTTCTTGTTACTAGTGTCTTCTGACTTCCAGCTGTCTACAGAATAAAATGTCTGAAGTGTCTGACCAGTCTCTCTAGCAAATTGTGCAGAGCCAAGTTTATTAATTTGATCCCAATATGCATTGAAGCTTATTATGATAGACACATTTCTGAATCATGTCTGAGAGAGTTTAGGTTTGTCAGGACCCCTCCCAGCTATTCTAGACTGGAGCAGCTTAATGTCTGCCTTAGTACAAGACTTGTATCTTAAATTCTCTAGTGCTGTTCACAACTTCTTGTCTTTTTCACTTTGTGATCATTGTCGCATGTTCTCTCGCAGAATAACTACAGTAGTGACCTGATGCCATAATGCCTTGCCAATAGAGGCCTCCTGCTGTGAAGAACTATATGTTGTATGAATAACTGGTTCAATCTTATGAGAATATAATGAACAGTTGTCAACTGCAGGTGGTAGCTGTGCAAAGTCTCCAGCAAAAATCATATTAATTCCACCAAAGGGTTCTTCATTGGCCATTGCCTTGCACATGCGAGCACAGATTTTATAAAGACTCTTGCAATCAATCATAGAAACTTCATCCACAAAGATATAGTCAACATCCTTTAGTCGTGCATGAACTTGACTAAGTTTTGCAACAGACTCTGAGCCATACTGACTCAATCCAAGTACAGAGTGGTAAGTTGAACCAGATATTAATGCTGCAGCTGCACCAGTAGGGGCAATACACATAAATCTATAGCCTTCCTCTTGTGTAGTAAAAAAATCAATCAATGCTTTAATTACTTGTGACTTGCCAGTGTCGGCCATACCATCTAAGTACATTTTCAACTGCTCCCCACTAGGCTGAACTGCATGATTAGCAACTATGTGAAATGCACACTCTTGTTCTTTATTCAGACTGAATTTCTGCACTGTCTGATCAATCAATTGTTGACTATCCTTATTTGATGCTTTGAATGACTTGTCAAGATAGGATCGGTCAATAATCTTTACTTGGTCAATGGAATTGACTGCTTCAGTAGTAGACTGACTAGACTTCTTAGTTGCTGCTTGTGTTTCTCGAGCCTGCAGAATTGCATCACGCTTCTCTAGAAGCAATGTTTTCCAAGTATTTCCAGTGCGACCTTGACCAGTTTGTATTGCAATTTCAGGATCAACAAAGCCTGGTTTTTGATTTAGTGGAAGTGCATCCATTGCACCAGAAGTTTGTAGCATGCACTCTGCTTCTTGCATTTGTGCTGTACGGAACAATGCAGACCAATTTGGTTCATCATACTGGTCCAAGTTAAGCATACTTGCTTCATTAGCAAGGTCAGCTCGAGCTTCATCACCATAGTACTCACTGTCAAAGTGATCTAACAAGGCATCATTTGCATCAAAGGGAAGAACATTTACACCCTTTCCTGCCTTTCTTGCAGCAGAATAATCATCTCGTGCATCATTGCATTCATACCTAAAATTAAAAAACTTTAAAAGCTCATGCTGTCTCTCATTAAATTCATATTGACTGAAAGAATCATCCCAAGTCACATCACTGTTTACCTTCAGCTCAAGTCCAGCCCGCCATGGTTTAAATAAAGTAAGCATAGTCATACAATAATCTTCACAGTTTCCTTTATCTCACCTAGGCAATGCTCCACCTACAAAGTTAGGTACCTGTGCATATCGCTCTGCTACTAGTCACACGTAGTGTGTCTCGTACTGTGGGTGATCTTTAGAAAATTGATACCATGCATAAGAGCCCTTGTCTGAATCAGGGTCTGAGGTTGATGTTTCACAGTCTTCTGATGATTTACCGTCATATTCTTCATCTTCAGAGTCATTTTCTGTTAGTGCAATTTTTGGCAGTGCATGCCAATCACCTACTTCAAGTTTCTTAAGATAAACATCTAACTCTGCAAGGTCTTTGCAGGATGTATATGGCTCCCAAGTTATATCACCTAGAGTCCATTGTACATGGAATTCAACTCTTCGACCAATCCAGCGATGATTAGTGATAGTGTGCACTTCAAATTTATTTTCTTTGCCTTCACTATATTGTTTAGACATCTTCTTCTTATCTGCACGTCGAATCCAGTCATACAAACTAATTGACTCAAGTTCTGGAGGCCGATGCATATAGTCAACCACTGGTGAGATCCCAATATACTTTCCATTGCTTTGACCTAGTATGACCTTGTCTGGAACTTGTCGTTCATTTCCTTCAGATTCAGATGTCTGCCAGGCCTTTTCAACCTCTTTGACATAACTGCGCCAGTAGCAGACTTTAAAGTCATGACTTATATAGTGGTCTGGATGCTGCAGTAAGTATAAACATGCCATTGGTCCACCAATCTCAGACTTTGCTGTAAGAGAGTTTACAATTTTTGTCATAATCTTCTGTGCTTTCTGCAGTCGATCTAAGTCACCCTCTACAATATCTGAATTTCGTTCAAATACAGCCTGCACTGCCTGAAATATGGTATGTGTCTTTAATGGAGACTTTGTAATATAGTCTGTAACATATGCGATGACAGACTTGACTGCAGTACCAGACAGCAAGCTGGTTACATTAGTATTACAACGCAGAAGATAAGTTACCACTGGAGTATACCAGTTAATCCAGGCTTCACCCTTTTTCTGATTCAATGCACCAGTCTCAGGATCAACTGTAGTCTCTAAAAATGTATCTCTTGGAAAGCGTGCTTTGCAGGAACCATTCTTATCTATACATCCTTTATGGCAAGAATGTCTGTTAGATCGATAAATAAGTTCATCGACTACATGTGTGAACTTACTCCACCACACTGGGGGCAAAAGTAGATGTTCTGCCTTGGAACAGTGTCTGAACATCCAAGGAACAGATTATGTTTTTGGACATGTCACATGTTCTGAACATGGTAAGGA